ATGTATTACAGATCCAGTTCTGTGAAAAGAAACTACAACTCAAGACTCCTTCCTGTGATTACAGCAGTCAGAAGCAGAAACTTGCAACCTAGCCCAGCAGCCCTTTTTATTCATTTTACACATGACACTCATTGGATAATCCTTGGTGTTAAAGCTGTCCTTTGGTCTGAGGGGAATATGAATTTCAAGGATCTAGTAAAACTAAAAACACTGAAATCCCAGTTTGCCTGTACAGCTAAGTTCTTTCATTCTCGATCTTTGCTGGCATAAAAGAAACCCATAAAGATGGTTTTAGAAGAACTTACAGCAAACTAGAGAAAGGCTGGGGGGAGAAAATACCTAACCTGAGAATCCATGTTCACAGTTCTGGGATTTCATCTAACCACAGAGCTCCATGGTGTAGGAAGCCAGCAGCATTTAAACATCACTGCATAAATCCACCAATAAGAGTGTGAATGTTTCAAAGATTAGCCTTAATGCAACTCAGCTTAATCCATCACAGGTACTTAATTGACAGATGAGTAGTTAAAGAAAGGAGATAAACAACTACATATAATTGAAAACTCTTAGCAGTAGCTCATAGACATGGCTATTTATCATAAAACTAGAAATGCCTACTGGCTTAACAGAGTAGCCTTCAACCAAAATTTGTTCTTTACAGTTACTAATGTTCACAAGGCCTCTGTCTCCTCTTCCTCAAGAATGTTTTTTTTTTTTTTTTTTCCTTACAAATAAGATCATATACATATATATATATAGACAGGTACAAGCATTTACTGTGCATCTGCCATACCTAATTTCAAGTCACTTACTGTCAGCTCATTAAACAGACAAAACAGGAAATGGGTAAGTTTTTATAATCATTCTACTTCCTATTACAGAAAATGTGAAATTCAACAATCCTAACAAGAAATGTGAAATTCAACAATCCTGTACTTTCTTGAAAGGCTTATCTTACTATGCATATGAGCTGAAAACGTTCATCAAGAAAACACCTCTAAATGATTTCCATTGAAGTGAGTTCTGCTGTTTGTTTCAGAAAGTGAAGGTGTACTACAGTTTAAAAACAAAAATAACTCTTCGTCTTCCCTTTTTTGACTGTTAACTGCAAGTATTAAAGACAGCATGTCTTATGGTAGCAGGATTGAAGTTACTAAATCATAGAAACCATCATAAAGTGTAGGGTTTTTTTCCTAGTGCAATTCAATAGCCAAATGTAACAGCCTCTGTAGGAGAAACAAAGTAACATACAAAGATTAAAAAAATCCATTTTGCTTAATTATGTATTACATGAGCTAGGAAATGGTCACTACTACATTTGTTCTGATATAACACCTTAGGAGAATATGAAGAGTTGCTAACAAAAAAAATATATATCTTTTTAAAGCAGATCCTCATATAATGAGGACACATCAGACCACGAATGTACTTTTGACCTTACTGATAAGCCAATAAGAGTTATATTGAAGAAGTACTGGAAAAACAAAAAACATGACTGTAATTTTCTGCATCCCATTAGCTGATATCAACACAGTGAAGGCCATGAAAATTGAAATATGGTTCATTAACTGTGTGTGGGTTTGATGAGCGACTCAGATATGTGTTTTCTCCAACAATGAAGAAAAATCTTCACTACATAAATCTGATGATGTATTTCAGTGCGCAGCCTACCTTCTGTTTAATATGCTACAGATAACACTTTAAGAATTCACAAGAAGCTAGGAATAAACAAGGAAGCTAAGCCTCTCATCCGAGCTTCAATCCCTGTTGCTGAAAAAATAGGTAAGTTATTCGACAAATGAAGATAAGGATGGTCTCAGATGAAACTCTTTTCCCTTCCTCAACTTCAGAATGAAACCTTTATTTGCAGATAATAAACAGCTAAATGAATTACACTGTATTTATTCAAACAGAAGTTAGACTGCTGGAACAGATCTTAAGAGTAGGCACCAGACATAGCAGTCTTTGCTAAAAACATAGTAGGAGAACAAGAGGCAATACTTATACCTTGAAACAGGAAAGATCTGACTGGATACAAGGGAAAAGAAAAATAACTGTGAAGATATCAAACATGAGAGCCACTTGCCCAAAGTTATTGCCTACTTTAAGTACTAACTGCATAAATTACAAAGCTAAAGGATCATACCTGGAGTGTATTTTGGAAAACTCTTTGTCTCATTTTAAGTAGTAAAAAAGTCCTAATCATCACAGATTTAAATGCCTCTCTCTTTCCCCAAACATATTGTCCTTACATTACTAGATATTTCCTGTGTTTAAGAAAGAAATAGTATATTTTTATATTTCTTCTAGTAATTTCAATTTAAGACTTATCCCTATACATTATGTACAGAATGGATTGTAAAGTTTCACCACACTTTGAACCATAACCCATATTTCAGAAAAATAAAAGGAGAAAAACTTTGCATCTTGCTCAATTACATCAGACAAAACAATGTGAGTGGAAGAAGTGAAAACAATTGACATGAATACTAAGTGATGTAATTTTTTAGAAAAATTATTCTCTGATATGCTTTTGACCACATTACAAAATATACTGTATATATTCATGAGAGAGAGATGTTTAACAGAAGTTCAAAGAGAGTAAAGTAGGTTTGTTAAAGGAGCTTGGGAGTTTTCTGCAATGATGCTCTTAACGGTAACATCTTTATGCTCTGGAAGAGCATAAAGAGTTTGTGCTTCATCTAAATCATTATTCAAAGTTTATGGAAACCTGCCAGGCTTTTTTTTTTATGGGTTGCTTCAACACTTGCAAAGTCACAAACAATGAAGCAATATGCTGATATTAACAAACTCACTGAAGAAATACTGTACACTACCACCTGAATAGTAAAGTTTAAGAGACAGCTGGAAGAAAGTCAAGAGAAATGCAGCACATTATCAGTTATTTCATCAGTAACACAAAGTACTCAGCATGCAAACTCAAGCATTCAGTGAAAATCCCATTTTCCACTCAGTAGCTAAAATAAACATACTGGCTGAAGAAACAGAGACGTAGAAAGATGTATGCATGTTTCTTTTGAAGTTCAGCATATACTAGATACATTTCCCAAAAGAGTTAATTCACATAAAAGTCATTGCTGATTTGATGCCAACGGCAGTTAGACCTTAAACAATCTGCTGAGTAAGTAAAGAATCTCAGAAGTTAAAGCTGCCTGAAGCCAAATTGAAGTTGTTTTTCCCTAGGATTTAAAAAAAAAAAAAAAAAAGGAAGAAAAGGAAGAAAACAATCTAACAGCCATTCTTATCTCTGCTTTTCTATTTGGCAACATTGGTTAAGTATATTCTGTTGTGGCAATATAGATACAAACATGGGTATGACAAGAGAAATGTATAGCTTGATTAAACAAGAACTGCTAGGAGTATGGGAATAGGGAGGGACGCCAGCAGCAATATGCAACCTATAAACAACACACAATCAATTAACTGGCTTCTGTTAGTTCAGAAAACCACAATAGTAACAGATATCTTCATCAGTAAATAACAGATTCCTTTCAGTAAATGGAGGCAAATGCAGATGAAGAAAAAGATCTTTAAGCTTGTCTGTATAAACTGAAGATATGAAAACTTTAAAAAACTTGAATGACTTCTAGCCTCACAGTATAAGCTTAGTCACATTTGGCATGACATTCTAAACTTCAAAGTCTAGTCTTGGCTGACTAGACTTAGGCACAAAGCCAAAGGAAATGGTGAATCACTCTGAGTCTCATCAACCTGATACTGTTAAATCAGCATAAGTCTAATGAGGAAAGAAGTTGTTTAAGCCACATAAAAATTACCATTTAATACTGAAATGAATTCAAATTTCACTTACCAGTACAGTAATATCTTGGTTAAATTTAAGTTGTTATTGTAATTGTTAAATAGTTTATTTAAATAATTTGAACACAAGTCTAACACCAGTGAATACAAACAGCAATAAAAAGTCCGAAGAGAACAGTTATGTATGGCTGAACAGTTGCTTGACAATTAAAAAAGATTGACTGTCTTAAAAGATATTGAAGCACTGCTAACAGTATGACTAAAAAGCAGTCAAATTACTGGTATGAATAGAAGCTTTTCAGACTCATTTTATATTGATTGACACAGCTTATCTGTATTATTTCACCCTGTAATGCATCCAACAGACAAAACTTGAGCAATTACAGAACAGAAAGCCTTCAGCAACTGCACAACAAAGTCTGTATTACTCTTTCATAAAGACCTGAATTTGAGAATATCTAAACAATTTACAAACATATCTACAGAATTAGAACCCTATTTACGCTAGGAAGAGACCCAAACAGTTCAAATTACAGGCGAAAGAGAATTCACCTAATACTCTCCAATATAAGCAACAGCCTTGTAAAAAACTTAACATCTATGTAATAGGCTATCATTGATTATCTTCATATTTTCATAATTACTAACTACTAAACACTAAAAATTTCTGTACTTGTGATATATGGTAAATGTATCACACCACAGAAAAGTCATCAGAAGGCAAAAAAAAAAAAATCTAATGTGCTTACAGATATGAAGACTTCCATAAAAGCATATTAAGTAGTTTGAGAGCAAAACAAACAAATTCAGGATATTATGTGCTTTTGAATGTCTTCTGTAAGTAGAAAAAACAGCTGCTAATATTGTATGGTCTTGAAACATAATACCTGTTTCATACTTCATAGCAATACCATTGTTTCTTTGTAATTCATACTGATCTTAGTTTAATATTAGGAAAAACTGGAAAAGATGCTTAGCTTGTTATGCACAAAATTTTCGAAAATGAATAAAGGTAACTAGTTTGTCACCAGGGCAAGGAGTAGATGCCCTCTGAAGGAGGCTAGAAGCTTTCTCCATGCAAGTATCATTTAATCTACTTCAGGAAGATGCTAAAGAGATCTGTAGTACCTTTCTCTGTCATCTCTCCTTCCAGTTGGTAACTCTATTCTTTATGTATTTATAGAATTATAGTATCCTTAGTTGGAAGAGACTTCTGAAGGCCATCTAGTCCAATTCCCCTGCAATGAACAGGGACAGCACAGCTAGATCAGGTTGCCCAAGACCTTACCCAGCCTCACCTTGAAAGTCTCCAGGGATAGAGCATCAGCCACAATACTAAGTAACTTCACCACCCTCACTAGAAAAGATTTTTTCCATATATCTACACTAAACCTACCCTTCCTGAGCTTGAAGCCATTTCCCCTTGTTCTATTGCCACAAATTCAGCTGAAGAGCCTGTTCCCTTCTTTCTTGTAGCTCCCCTTTAGATACTGAAAGGCCACTATCAGGTCACCTCACAGCCTTCTCCAGGATGAACTGCCCCACCTCTCTCAGCCTATCCTCAAAGGAAAGGTGTTTCATTCCATGGATCATTTCTGTGGTCCTCCTCTGGATGCGCTCTAACAGGTCTGTGTTGCTCCTGCACTGAGGACTCCATATCTGGACACTTTCAGGTGAAGCCTCACCAGCACAGAGTAAAGGGGCAGGATCACTTCTCTCAACCTGAAAAGCAAACTATATAGGTAACTCTCTATTTCCCTGAGACTTCCACTAGCTCTAGTTCCCATCCTATAAGCTGTTCACCCTCCTTGTCTTAAATGTACATGTCATTATGCAGCAATTAGACAGATCAATACAATGGGAAAAGCATTACAACAGAGGTATAATGACAGAAGAACTGGTGTGACAGAAAGATACTATAAATGAAGGAAAGATTGCTCACCTGTATCAGAAGATTCTAGATTCACAAGAAAAAGCTTCCCCAAGGCAAGATCACCAAAAGAAATCCTTCCCCAGTGATAGTCAGCCCTTTAATGAGGTTTAAGAAAGGTGCAGCCAGGCTCCACGCCTGCTCACACATATGAATTACCTTCACCTGTGCTTCCAAGGCTGACCGGGTCCTTTTCCCAGGTGATCAATCAGTGGTATCTTAATACCTTTACTTTCTATCTACCTCACGTGAAGCATGTAGAATATGGTTTTCCTTTTATATTAGCAATGTAAACTTGGAGATAAACCAATCTATACAGAGAAATATATGACAAAGTTGCCTGTGAGAGTGATAAGTGGGAGGCTTCTTCCTGTCCCTACAATCTGTATTTTATGAAAAAATAAATCTCAGAGATAATCATTTTAGAAGAATGTTGTTGTTTTTCCTTCAGTAAAGCTATGCAGCACAAAATAAATCCATTTTATATGTTTCAGGAATACTCATTCCAACATGACTCATGAATTATATTGAAAATAAAAACTAGCCATGTTAGAGTAAGCTCTATTATTTCATTACAAATACATATATAATCAAATGTATATACATATATCTCTATAAAATGAGGCAAACAACAATATCCCCTGACCTTTACAAGTATATTCTGAACTAAATCTCTTAAACAAACAGGCCTGTAAAACACTCTTTGAATAAAACATTAAAAAAAAGTCAAGAATGAAATCTGTTTTCCTGTCCTTTCTTTCCTTCATAAATTCCCTTGTGCTATATAAAAAGAAAAATTTATTGAAATTAAGAATACATATTAAATTTTAAAACAAAATTAATATTTGTAAAATGAAGAGTGAACCACTTTTTTTTACCATGGACAATAAAAAGATGAAGAAAACTTATGAAGATGATAAATTATAAGTTATTTGCATAAGCCCTGCAATGTTATGCCATAATGACTGTCTGCTTGTGAGTACTGCATACAGTATGGACGCCACAATGTAAGAGGACATGAAACTATTAGAGAGCATCCAAAGAAAGGCTATGAAGATTGTGAAAGATGGTCCTAGAAAGCAGTATATATACGGAGTGACTGAGGTCACTTGGTTTATTCAGCTCAGAGCAGAGGAGACTGAGCGAAGGTCTCATGGCAGCTGTAGCTCCCCACAGGGAGTGCAGGGGCAGATCTGAGCTCTGCACTCCGGTGACAGCAACAGGATCAGAGAACAGTATGGAGCCGTATCAGAAGAGGCTCAGATCGGGTGACAGCAACAGGATCAGAGAACAGTATGGAGCCGTATCAGAAGAGGCTCAGATCGGGTGTCAGGAACAGGATCTTTGCTGAGAGGCTGGATGGGCACTAAAACAGGCTCTGTAGGGAGGTGGTTCAGGCACCAAGACTGCTGGAATCATAGAATCATAAAATTGTTCAGGTTGGAAAAGACCTTAAAGATCATCGATTCCAGCCACAACCTAACCATACTACCCTGTCTCTAAAATCCCTCCACTAAATCATGTCCCTGAGCACCACATTCAAACAGTTTTTAAACACATCCAGGAATGGGGACTCAACCACCTCCCTGGGGAGCCTATTTTTTTATATGATCCTTGTACATGTAACAACTGGTCCTGTATTGCTTGGAGACCTAAGTGGCGAATATCTGTATTCGTTTTGCATGCTGCTACACATATGCTACTGCAGGGAATAACCTGGGAAATCAAAGAATTAGGTCATATACTAGACCTTCTGTGTAATCTTTTCATGGTAGATTTTGTTTGGATAATTACAAAGGAAAAATTATTATCCTATATTAGTTCTTGCTATGATTTTTTTTTTCCCCCTGAGCACACTAGGAAAAAAAAAAAAAAAACAACAACCTTGGAATTTTATTTTTTCGTATGTCTACATCTGGTATTAGTCGTTTGCATGATATTGTACTATAAGACAGAAATTCACCAAGTAGCGATAATATTTCTCCTGCAGCATGTTCTGCTGCTTTATATTTGTATCCTGGCAAGGTTAGTAAGATATATGATATATTATCATCATAAGGTGATGGTAACACCCACAAGAGACATAAGAATTTTGCCATTTATTATACTCAAAGTCAAATAATTTCCTTTAATATTACTATAATCAACTATTGACTAGAAAAAGCATTTATAGAAAAAGCATTAAAAAAAAAAAAGCCCAAAGGATTTCTAAACCTATACAGCTATCAAGAGTAACTAGAAATTAAAAAAATAATGTTTTTACAAAGAAAAGCAATATATTATAAATTCATTGGATGACCCCTCCATTTTTTGCACATAATTTTAAAATAAAGGAAAACAAACAAACAAAAACTTTCAAAGTCGTTATACAATGTAAAATTAACTCCAAAAATTATAAAGAACATAAAAGCACTAAAAACAGTTCCCATTAGTAGTGAAACTAAATGTAAAAGAATGGAAAAAAAGGAAAGATTTGGAAACTCTTACAATCTCAACAGTATGCATGCACAAATGGACTAAGATTATAGAGAAATATGCTGGGGGATATTATTGACTGCAATATCAAGATGGAATATTCTGTTTCATGCATAGAATTCACTTATAAAGAAACCTATGATTTAAATCAGGTTTGACTGAAACAAACCTTCTGTAATTTTCCCAAGGGGAAAAAAAAAAACACAGCAAAAAAAAAAGAACTACACACACACTTTTAGAATGCAAATATTTCCTAAGAATTCAAGTTTCTTGCAATGAAAGTCCTTCTCCCTCTGTCTCCTCATATCCACCTTCCTGATGTAAGATTAAAAATTAGCCTATGAATAGACTGGAATAAAATATTACCTTGAGCGCAGGAAAATCCTTTCAGCTAGTGTTTTAAAGTAAAAAAATGTATATTTATACATAAAAGAATCACTGAGATTTCATTTACTAGAAAACAGTTCCAAGACTTTCGCTAGGTCTGTAAGCACAAGAAATGTTGCATAAAAATGAAATTACGACTGAAAGGTTAAGATGCACTAAGAAGGAAAGTGTGCATAATCTTCTAGAATCAGATTCTTGTCTGACACTAAAGGAAAACAACAGATCAACTCAAGGAAAACAATTCAACAGATCAGAAAGTATAGAGAAACACTGTCATGTACACTGAATTATCTATGTACTTGAAACCATTAAAATCAATCTTCTTTTAAAAATTGTATAATGAAACATTTAATGCATTTTTTCTCCTATTTATATTATAATTATTCTTAGCTAGTTGAACTTAACCTTTAATTGAATGCAACAAACAATTTAAAAAGCCTGATTTATTGCACTTTAAAGTGCAAGAAGAAAAAAACTTTAAGTATAAATATAAAATGCCCTTTTCATTCTCTCCAACTAAAGAATCTCATTTATTATAATTAATGCTGGAAAGTTACTTTTGTTGAAGTTATTTTCACATTAATGGTTATTCTGTTGTCATATAATTATCTGCTGCAAGTTTCTTCATTCCTTATTACAATTACAAAAATTAAGAAGCTGCAGCTGTGTTGGCTAATATGTTTCTGAAAGGTCTTCAGAAGACATAGAATTTTTAAACTTTTTGAAAACCCAAACTGAAGTATGAACCTGCTTTTCAGAACTACTAACAGGCATCTTCACAAATGCACAATTTGTCATATTGCTTCTTGTTTTGAACTTGAAAATTACCATAGAATATACTATCATTTTTAATCAGAAAGCTGAAAAAAAATTTTAAACATACACAAGGATAATTTAGCATTAGGTTACTAGTGTTAGCTATTATTCATGTGTGACAGAGAGGTAATTATTCCTTAAGCCTACCAAATCATTCAGCAAAATGATCGTGTTACATTGGAATCAATAGCATTCCTATAGTATTCCTTACTAGAAAATGCTACTGTTCAAAAACTCTATCTTTTAGATATCTAAGATAACATCCAAATTCTCCTGAAAGCTACTACATTATGAGCAAGTTTGGAGTTAAAAGAACAAAAGGCCTTTCACACTAGAGCCAGTAGAGTAGTGTAAGTTTGTAAACTTTCCACACTATTTCCAACATACTCCCAGGCAGTAGACATATTTGCTAATATTAAAACTTTTGAGGGAAAAACAAAACAGAACAACAACAACAACAAAACCAATAAAAAGAAAACAGCTAATCTTGGAAAGGGTCAAAGCAACTCCACCTGAATCAAACATCGCCACTTCCATTCTAAAATCAACATGATAGGCACACACAGTTTAGCTTATTTAATACACTTTTCTCATTTATGGTGGAATATATTTACTGAGGAAAATGAATACTTGGTGCCATATCAGGCCACTGAATATCCTTTCCCTCAGCTTCTGCTTTTTTGTTGTTGTTTTGGTTTGTTTTTTTCCTTTGTTCGCAGTTACATGCTTGGAAAACCCAATGAATACAGAGATTCTCTGAATAGTGAGAATAGTCAGACTACAAACAGAGCATCCAAGCAACACGTGAAACTAACACACCTGAAAGTTTCAGACCTTGCTAGCCTTCCCTTTGAAAACCTTACTTATGAAGAATTTCCTATTAATTTTTTGAAAAAGGTTTTTGATTAACAAATTATTTCATCGATTCATACTGACTGCACTGGAGTCTGTCTCCTGGTATCTATTCCAATTCAAACTGAAATGAAATCTTAAGTTGGACTCAAAGGTAAAAGATGCCTATTTCTCACCGATGCAACATAGCTATGCAACTGAATACACTGCAAAGATTACTACTTTGCTACCTGAATTGCTGATTAATCCTTGATTAATGGTTTCCTCATCACTTGGATGAAAATATCATTTTATTTATCTGTAATGAATTTCCAACTTTTTTTTTTTTCTGTAAAAAGCTGCTCACCATTTACTATTCAAATAAAAGCTGTAAAATCATTTCTATTTTAATTTTCTACCTTCATCAAAGGAAGGTAGGAAGAAATCTCTACTAAAGTGATAAAAAAATAATTTTCTTTACTTGAGTAGTAATTGCAAAGATTTCAGTCTAAGTTCAGATTTCAGAAACTAGAAAATGCACTACAACTTTCATGTAACTCTTAACAGC